GACAGGTAAGACAGAGACTGTTAGGCAGATCCTAGCAAAAATGGGTGTAATTTCTACCCTTGAAGAAGGCAAGACAGAAACCATCCTCAGCTGAACATTTATACATATATACAGAAAAAGAAAAAGCTTAGTATTTAGAACACAAAGGACAGTTCAGATGGTGCAGAATTGATAGTGTATGTGTTTTAGAATTCATTTTGCATGAATTCTAAGCAAGAAGCTTGCCAGTTCCTGTGACAAAATATTGTAATTTATTTTTTCCCCACATTAAATAACCAGAAGGTGTTTTTTTTTTTTTTTTTTTTTTTTTTTTTTTGTAGATCTTTAAAATGTCTGTTGAATGCCACAGATTTCTAAATTGAAAAGGTTAAAAAAAAGAAAAAAGCTTTTTGGAAGCAGACAACATTGTGAAGAACACTTGGTTTTGCTCTTCTAATCAATACATACAATTTCTTAAGATCTGCCTGTGAAGTATGAAGGTCAATTATTTAGCAGTTATAAAAAATATGTAGCACTATCCCATCCATGATATTTTACTATGACTTGTATTTTTGCTACACTTTTTTGCCTTTCCCTTAGTAGAACATTGGTTTGTTGTATTATTTCATGAATAATAAAGTGTTAGTCCTCTATATGTAAAATATTTCAATAAATAAAAGTTGAATTTACAATTGAAACTGATAAGGCAGCAAAACCAGTTATCAAATTACATATAAACAGTGTATTAAAATGTGTGAGGCAAAATAAACACTACGAAGTCAAAAGCTATGCTGTAAAGCTGAGACGCTGTTTTTTCAAATGTTGCATATCAAAGAAAACCCCACTTCTCTGCCTTCAAAAAGTCCCTTTATTCTTTTATCCCAAAGCAAGGACATAAATGAAATCCTTGCTGAACTAATAATGCAGCCAGGAAAAAAAAATTGCAAATTTTTGTTTAACCATTTAACATGCTCATAGAGATTAACTCAGTACACAAGGCATGGGGAACTAATCTAAAAGGCCCTCTGGGGGACACTTTGGTTGGAGGGAAGAAAAACTGGCACAGCAGTAACTCCTAATGTGTCTTTTGCTGGTGAATGGCCTATGACTCTCTTCTTTTTCTTCCTGCAGTTCTTCACTGCATTGGAAATGTTGCATCCCCAGGCTTGGATATGTCTCTGACCCAAGAGAGGTTCTCAGAGGAGAGAAGGAAGCTTAATGAGATTCAGTGCCTAGTCTGGTAAGTCTCCATGTGACTCCTTGCATTGACCCCAACCTAGTTATTGCTGTAAAGGAAGAAGCTTTATATGATCAGGAACAAAGACACTGAGTCTTCTATGCTTTCTTTCTGAAAAAGAAACAAAACTAAAACCAGACAAGATAATTTGGCCTCCGCTGGCACAAGACTTTGGAGCAGAATAGGAAAAATGACCTTTTATCATCCCAAGAACAAATGATTTTGTCCTCATTAATGAAATGGCAAAATGTGGACTTGCAGCAGAGGAGAGCAGTTGTGTTAAGGACCATTGCCCCTCAAAAGGCTGGAGGGGGGTTGGGATGAGTGAGCCCTGCGGAGCAGCGCCCTGCAGCTCCAGTTGTGCCCTGCAGCTCCAGTTGTGCACCTCTCCCTTTGCTGGGACCCGTGGGACAGAATGGAGCTGAGGGCAGCGGGGTGGGAGGAGCAGGGTGCACCTCCCTGTAATGCAGGACATGCTGCCCTCAGGGGCACCGAGCAGGGCTGGCTGCAGCAGCTGCACCTCTGGGCTGCGGCATCTTCTGTGCACTGAAGCAGCTGGACAGGGTGGCACTGGGGAGAACATTGCTCAGCCAGCACCAGGGGTTTTGAGTATTTGTTTTGCTCATTTTTAAAATGAGTCCTGACTCGAAAGCTTTTACAGCAGCTGCAAAAATCTACAGTCTTTAGCTCACAGCCCAGTCTGTCATTTTGTGTTACATCATGCGCTATTCCAGGAGGTAGAGCTGCCTATGATTTCATAGCACAGTTGATTTTCTAGCTTAATTCCTCAAGGGACCTCAAAGGAAATGGAAACCCATAAATAAAATGAAGAAATTAAAATATATTACTGAGTCTAAATGGCAGCATTTATTTGGATTAATAAAATACAAAATTGTAATTTTCCTTTATACTGGATTTGGTTTTGGTTCTGCAGTGATTCAATTGGTTCAATAGTTTCCTGCTTCCCAATCTCACTTTGTCTTTACTTTGGGAAATATTTTTGTAGAAGAGGAATTCCTCTCTTGAGGGAGGTGATACTATGGAAGATCTCTAATTGTTCTTAACAGGTTTTAAGTTTTCTGGGCTACTGTCAGTCTATATAAAAGTTGTGATTTGAAGTCCACTTTTCAACCTGAAATTCCATATTAGTTGGATAATTAATTACCCCAAGTTCCCCAAGTGGAACACAGATACTAAGCTACCAAAAGACAAAAATTTTTGTTTTTTTAAATTCTGAAGGAACAGTCCCAAATCATTCTAAGGTCTGTATATACATTGTCTGGTCTTTTTGGACTAACTAAACTTCAGTGCAGATTGAAGGGTTTCCCTCTGACATGGAGGTTTCACACACCTCTAAGAAACCAGGGATTTGTCCCACTGTGCCAAATCAAGGAGCGTGTGGTCTGTGCTGGAGGAAAATCCAGCCTAGTTTAGTTTCAGATGCAGGCTAACTCTGTATGTAAAAATCTCTGTAGTAGTTAATATTTCCTCCTTTGCTGTTAAGAAAAATGAACTATTTTAGAGTATCCCATCAAAAACCGTTGCCTCACGGCAGGCAAAAGTGGAGAATGTTGTGCTGAGAAGAAGCAGGAACGCTTTAAGAAGGCATTGCCTACTGTGGGAATCAGAGAGCAATTGTTTTGACTTCATGTTCTCATGAAGATTTTGTGACACTGTGTGCCAGTAACTTGGTCCTACTTTAACTTGTACCTATACTAAAATTATATTACTAAAAGCAGGCATTTTCTGTCAACTCAATTGTTAAGCCTGTTCAGGCACAGCTGTGAATAAAATTAAGTTAGCTGATAGGTCAGGTTTTTTTTTGAAAAGGACTTGAGGGTGCTGGTGGATGAGAGGCTGGGCATGTGCCAGCAGTGTCTGCTGGTAGCCCAAAAAACCAGTTGTGTCCTGGGCTTCATCAAAGCAGCGTGGGCAGCAGGGGAGGGAGGGGATTCTGCCCCTCTGCTCTGTTCTGGTGAGACCCACCCGGAACACTGCATCCAGGTTTGGGGCCACAGCATAGGAAGGATATGGAAACAGTCCAGAGGAGGCCACCAAGATGCAAGATGAATTGAGGGATGGAGCACCTCTGCTATAAGGAAAGGCTGAGAGAAATGGGGTTTTTCAGCCTGGAAAACAGAAGGTTTTGGAGTAACCTAACGGTGACCTTCCAATACCTGAAGGGAACTTATAGGAAAGATGGAAAGAGACTTAAGAGCGTGGAGTTATAGGACAAGGGGGAATGCTTCACACAGAGAGTAGGTTTAGATTAGATATTAGGAAAAAGCTCTTTACTGTGAGGGTGGTGAGGTAATGGCACAGGTTTCCCAAAGAACCTGTGGCTGCCCCATCCCAGAAGTGCTGAAAGCCAGCTTGGATGGGGCTTGGAGCAACCTGCTCTGATGGAAAGTGTCCCTGCCCATGGCAGGGGGTTGCAACAAGCTGAGCTTTAAGGTCCCTTCCAATCTAGGCTGTTCTATGAAATGCTGCTCCTGGGCTGAGTTGGACTGGCGCTGTGTCCCATTTCCATCGCCAGCAGGGCTGTTCCGGCTGTCGCTCGGACGCGACCCGCCCCAGAGTTCGGAAGGTGCCGCTGGAGCGGGGAGCGCCCGGCCCGGCCCGGCCGTGGCGGGGCCGGTGCCGCCACCGCGCGGCCGAACCGCGTCAATGCCCGGAGGCTCCTCGTGCCAAAGCCAGCTCCTATAAAAACCAGTTGGAGTTACAGTTATTCCTCCTCTTTTTCCGCCCCCCTCAGGCTTTGCAGCTGTTTCTGTTTCGGCTTTATGAGGTGGCAAGCCAAACTGTCCAACAAAACATCGCTCATTGTCACTTAGTGCTGCCTGTGGCAGATGCCTGGAAAGGTCAGACCATTGCTTCCAGGTAGCACAGTGAATCCTCATGTTTTAGCCCTTGAACTTATCCCCTTTTGTCACAGAAATGTTTATGTGTAGAGAGAAAATAACGTGAGTCCTTCTTACTGGAGTGTTGGTAGATGCTGGAGCATGTCCAGAGAAGGGAATTACGATGGCTGAGGGGTCTGGAGCATCAGTCTTATGAGGAGCAGCTGCAGAGGCAGCTGATAACTGCTTGGAGAAGAGGAGGCTCAAGGGAGACCTTATCACGCACCTGTCTGAAAGGAGGCTTTTCCAGCCAGGTGGGTGCTGGTCTCTCCTCCGAAGTAACCAGCAATAAGATGAGAACAAACAGCCTCAAGTTGTGCCAGGGGAGGTTTAGATTGGATATTAGGAAAAATGTCTTCAACAAAACCGCACTGGAACAGGCTGCTCGGGGGGTGGTGGAGTCACCATCCCTTTTTTTTTTTTTTTTTTTGTTTTTTTTTTTTTTTTTTTTTTTTTTTTTTTTTTTTTTTTTGTGTGTGTGTTGTGTTTTTGTTTTTCTTTTTTTTCCTCCACAGAATGAAGATCCTTTCCCCTTCCTGCACCCAATGTTTTCCCTACGTTCTTGTTGTGTTTCTCTTTAGGTTAGGGAGACCTGGTGGGTTTGCCCTCAGTTTAGAAAGGGATTGGTGGAACTCGGAAACTTTTCCAACAATCTTTGGAAAACAGCGCTTGTTGAATGTTACCCCATCTACCCCGCGTCTCCTCCCGTGAGCCAGGCTGCAATCCTGGGCTGGCTTCGGAGGAACCAGGGCTGTGGCACTGCGCCTCAGTTTTGGCGGGCTGAACTTCTTGGCCATTCGCCCTTAGTCGCAGGCGCCACCCTCCGTGCCCTGTGCGGAGCGGTGCCGCCTGTCCCCTCAGGGCTGGGCTGGGGCGGTGCCGCTGTGATCCCTCAGAGCCGGGCCGGGCCGGGCGGTACCGCTGTATCCCCTCAGGGCCGGGCCCGGCGGTACCGCCCCGCTGACGGGATCCGGCGCGACGGCGGCCGCGCCACTTCCTGGCGGCGGGAGCGGGGCGATGGCGGCGCAGGACGTGCTGGGCCAGACCGCACGGCTGGCCTCGTCCAGCGCCCTGCTGCAGGTGCGGGGCCGCCCCTTCCTCCTTCCTCCTCCTCCTCCTCTTGCTGCTGCTGCTGCTCGGCGGGGCGCCGCAGGTGCTTCCCGTGCGGCTTCTTTCACAGGTGCTGTTCCGGGTGGTCACCTTCGGGCTGAACGCCTTCACCCTCCGCTACCTCTCCCGGGAGCTCATCGGCGTGGTCAATGTCAGGTGAGGGAACTCAGAGGGCATCCGTGAGGGCTGTGGGGCAGAGCTTGTGCTCCGTGCTGCTCTGTGCCCTGTCACTGGCGATGCTGTGATTAATGCTGTGCAGTCTGTTCTTCGCCATGTCTCAGTGCTAGGTCATTTCATGCCTCCCCCGGTCTGTTTTGGCCAAAAACACCGGTAGCATTGGCCTGGTTTTTGTGTTTAAACCATCAGTCTGCGGAGGAAAAACTAGATACAATGTGCTTTTCCTATAGGATATACTCTGTATCATCATGTTTGGTTTGCAGCATGTATTCTTGCCATTTGAATCATCACACAAATTTACTTTCTCTCCGTTTTTAGGAGATTGTGATAATTTTAGCTCATATAACCATGTTTGCACGCCTGTAGGAATTTGTCTGCCAGGCACTTGTGTGTAGAAAAGAAATAATTTTCTCTCTCTCTCTTTTTTTTTTTGGTCCTTTTCACCGCCTTTAGGCTGACTCTGCTGTACTCAACAGTTGTCTTCCTTGCCAGGGAGGCATTTCGCAGAGCTTGTTTGAGTGGGAGTGCCAAGAGAAACTGGACCAAAACAATTAATCTCTTGTGGCTGACGTAAGATACCTTTAAAAGTTTACTTAGAATTTCTTGTTTTTGTCTGGGAGCTCACAGAATGAGAGGAAGTGTTTATTTACTGAGGTAATTATTTCAGAAGCCTCAGTTATGTTTCTGATCCTGGACTGATGTAGGAAGCTGCTCAATTCTGGTGCTTTAGCATTTGTGGACTTGATTTCTTGTTGGAGCACATGAGGAAGTCCATTGCCATTTCTTCTGTTGCTTGAGTTTCATTTATGCCATAGCTGTTGAAGGAAATCCCTGTTGCACAAATATCTAGCCCTATGTGTTTTCTTCCTCTTCCTGCTCAGTTTTGTGATTTTATTACCTGATGTGCACTTGTGAACCTGCAACATAAATGTGTTTGGGTAGCAGAGATGTGAAAAGGTGAAAGAAAGTGTTGGAATTAAACAACAAGGAGGAAGTAGGGTTGGCTCTTTCAGCTGTGGTGCTGTTTATAGCAGAACAGCTTAAAGTCCACAGGGCGCTGCAACAAGCCAATCACACACTGCAGTGTGATAAGGATAAAGTGGATTTTATGGCTTGTTCTGGTTCTTGATTCTCTCTGCTCTCTCTGTCAGCTCTAGCTGCTGTGTAGCCCCAGCTGGGCTGGGAAGTAAATATACCTGCCTGATACAGTTGAAAACTACCCCTGCGTGATAAAATAGTATTCTCCCACTGGGGCACCTGACTTTCCCTGGAACTGCCCAGCTGTTAACTGGATCTGGCCCAGGAATGGGGGTTATGTGTGGTCATCTGCATCCAGGTATAAAGCAGAGGGATTGTCCCTGTCAGGGAGAGGTCTAATACTAATATTTAAAGTGTGTTGTTTCTGTTCTCTAAGCTGTACTGCAGTCAACTTTCTGCTGTGTGACAGCCTTTCAAGCGAGCATTAAATGACAGAGATGACATTGACTGTGTGCATCTTTTTTTGTTTTAAACTTTTTCTTGTAGAGAAGCATAACTTCAAATGAAGGTTAACTTTGGTGAAGCATCTGAAATATCTTAGGAGCTTGATGTCAAATATCTTAGGGGTCTGATAGTGTGAGGATCTAAGATATCTTACACCAATGATGCAAAACTTGATGGACTCTACTAGAAGCTCTGTGTTTCTGAAGCAGTATCAGCAGAACAGGATGTGCAGGCTGATGTGGGATCAAAATTGTTTGGTCCTGAGGCACAAAAATGCAGATATTTGACCTTGTGGGTCTGGAGTAGAAAATGGACAACTCAGGAAAATGTTTTCCTGTGTCTTGCAGAGTGCCTTAAGGGTGTTTATTACAAAGGAAAATATTCATTCTTGGTATGGTAATATGGTAACAACGGGAATTAATTTCTCAGGGACTTTTTTTGTGTAATCATTGTGGCCATATGTGATATTGTAATCTAATTTTCTTCTTTTTTTTTTTTTTTTTTTGGGGTTTTTTTTTTTTTTATTTCCATTGAAGGGACATTTCCATTAATTAGTTTTTATGTTAACTTTTTAGAGTCCCTCTTGGTGTCTTTTGGTCTCTTATCTTGGGCTTAGTCTGGCTACACTTGCTTGAAGTACCCGACCCTTCTGTGGTTCCTCACTATCAGGCTGGTGTAGTGGCATTTGGTCTTTCTGCCATTATTGAACTCCTGGGAGAGCCATTCTGGGTTTTAGCACAAGCTCATTTGTTTGTGAGACTTAAGGTTAGTAAAGTCCATGGGGTGTGTGCATGTGGGGGGAATCTTGGCTGAAAAGAACAGGTTACTGACTTAGATCTTTGTATATTCAAGCATATAAAACCCCTGTGTGTACTGTTTAGCACTGCATGGCCTGGCTTGTAACATACCCAGGAATTGGTACCCATTAAAGCAAGCAAGTTGGTTTATTTAAACATTATTACCTTCAAGATCCTTAAATCCTGAAACATAGGTTTTGGTTGGAGGGAGAGACACACTGCTTCCATAATTCTACATGAAGTATTGAGACTATCATAGTCTCAAGCAAAATTTTCTCCCTTATGTCCTGTACAAAGGACTGGGAAAATTTGTAATGGAGGAACTAGAAATGCTAGAATTGAAAACTTACACAGAAATGACAATCTAAGTTGGCCAGCTCAGCAGAAAGAAACTGCCATAAAGTCATACTGGCTTTGAAAATCTTACATTCCTACATCAATTCTGTGCATTAAACATATAAATTTTAAGCTTGTGTATGTGGTTAGGTTGCCAGAAAATAACCCTTCTCTGTTTTGTGTTTCTTAAAGGTAATTGCTGAAAGCCTTTCAGTAGTGTCAAAATGCATTTTGACAGTTACTTTAGTAATCCTTTATCCTCAGTGGGGCCTTTACATTTTTTCCTTGGCTCAGGTAAGTTCCCTTTGTTCTCTCTCAGCTGAATTTTAATTTTCCTTTAACATTTAGCCTGCTGAAGAACTTTGGGGAGCTGAGAGAAAAAGCTGCTGGGAGGTTTAAGATTTAGAATTTGTATTTGGTATTTTCCTGATGCTCATTATTGACTTGGTGCTTTGACGTTGAGTTAAAGGGAGGTAGAAGGAAACACCTTCCATCTGTGAAGGCACGTCTTGCAAATAAGGTTATGTTATTCTAATCACACAGAACTTTATCAGCCTGTACCGCCAACCTGCATTACCTTATCAGAAGGTGCTAATCAAGTGCAATTAATTCAGGTTAAAACTTTTTCTTGACGACAGTGAAGGAGGGGTAATTTTTTTCCTTCAGTTTTTGCCCTGGCTGTTGTAGATCACTTATAATTGATGGAAATTGGAAATGTTCTATCAAGTGAAGATGTAGGCAGTAGCTCCTCTGTCAGCTTGATTTTTGATTGAGTAATTGCTTTATAATTGGACCTTCAATGTTCCATAAATTCTGAATAAAACAGGAAAATTAGCAAAGGTCTGTGATAAGCTACAGGTTAAAAAAAGATCAAAAGATCAACAACATTCTTAAGAACTGTTCAAATCCTTACCTAGTTTAATATTTGGTAGGCATAAAAACTACTTACATTTTATTCTCACTGTATTTTCACCTAGTATATAATTCCACGTTTCTAAGTTAATTTTATTTCACTGTTTTTCTTCTCTCCCTCCTGATCTTCCCAGCTTTTATATGCCAGTGTTCTGGTAATGTGCTATGTAATTTATTTTGTGATGTTTTTGGGATCTCCTGAAGCCACAAAGAAGTCATTTCCAGTTGCTAGAGTGAAAGCTCTATTACCTAGCTTTGTGGAAGATGAGGTAAGTTGTGCAATTTGTTTCTTGATTTTCTTCTTGAAATCTCACATGAGGGCACTTTGAATGTTGCTTTTAGACTGGGGAGTTAATTGAGTGGTTTTGGGGTTATTTTTGCACTACAGAAGATATGATAGATTAAGTAAAAAATATTGCATAGAAATTGTGTTTGAAGTTTGTATTAGTAAAATTCTTGTCAGAAAAACATAATGAATCTTGAACTCTTTGTGGTTGAGGGTTTGTTGTTGCTGACTTGGTTTGCGCAAAATCTTAGTAGACATTAACTGGAGATAGACCATCTGCACTGTGCAGGGGAATGACCAGCTATCACTGGATCTGAGGCAGAAAACAAACCAGAGCCATATAACAGTGGAGTTTTTGGTACTTTGATCTCTGCACAAAATAGCCGTGATGTTCCACAGTATCCTAGAGACACTCAAATATCTCTCATACAAAAATGAAGCAAAGCAAGAAATGAAAAGACTCATTGAGGAAGGCAACATTCTGGATAAGATTTACAGATTGGAAATATAAAGGTGGTTCTTGGTTGCAAGTCTTATAAGGACTGTTTGAAGAGCAGTAAACAATACCTCCAGTGAGGGTGGAAATTGTACTGGCATGTTAAACACCTTGGATATTTTTTTCCTAACTCTAATCTTGATTAGTATTTTCTCTAGAATGCTCTTATGGGTACTTTGTCTGCAGCAACAGCACTTTTCAACAAGGGGATCAGTTTTTGCCAGAGCAGTGATGTTGGTGCTTGAATTCAGCAGTGGTTAATGACTGTGGCATTGTGGGTTTCCTCACCACCGCAGTTAGAGCTACCCTGCAGTGTTGCACTGCCTTGCTGTTTTCTATTGCTACTGTAATGTCAATCACATGTGTTACATTTCAGGTTTTTTTTTTTGCAGACCTTTGTGAACTGGAAGGAAGCACGCTTGACTTGGAGTTTCTTCAAACAATCCTTCTTGAAACAGATTTTAACAGAGGGTGAGGCTTGACATAGAAGTGTGAGGGAAGAGGGCTCAGTTTTGTAAATAGAAAACTATTTACAAAATTGACTTAAAGCTTCAGAAAGCTTGGGTGGGGGAAGATGAGGCGCGTGGTTGCCAACCTGAGTAGAGTTTCTGAAGGTTTTCAGAACTAGGTGCTGTCCCATTTGACTTTGTCTCTTGAATGCTTAGTATTGGAATTGCCTGAACAAGTATTGGGAAAGATTTAGGGGCTTATTCTGAAGTTCTTTATTTTGAACTTACAGGTGAACGATATGTGATGACTTTTTTGAACGTGTTAAATTTTGGAGATCAGGGTAAGTGTGATGGTATTGTGAAATGGTGACAGAGTTTTCTTAGTCACTGCTCTTCATGTGGTTCTGAAAATGACTTAAAGTGTTTGAAGATAGCTTGAAAGTCTGAGAATGTTTCAAAGCCTTTGAGCTGCATTTCAGGGAACTATTAATGAATTGAATTATAGAACAGCCTGGTTTGGAAATGACCTTCAAGATTATATAGTTCCGGCCCCCCTGCCATTGACGTTCATTAGATGTATATCTTTCTCTTCTCCTGTGTCAGAAAATCCTTACATTCCTTTTCTTAGTCAGTGAACTTTATCAGCAAGATATATATAACTTCTACAGCAAGAATTTTAAATGTGGTTTGGTGCTGTTCTAGATTAATTTCTGTCTAGTTGGTGCTTTTGTCTTACCTTTGCCATGAGCAAACCTTGCAGTTTTAAGCTGTGGTTGCTTGACTGTCAGAGTTTTTAGAGAATATTGCTTCATTGTTGCACTAAATACCACTTGTTTTCTCTTTTTTTTGAGGTGTTAAATCAGAATTCTTCTTGTTATTAAAGACTTGAAATTAAAATATGTCTTTAAGCTGTGGTTGCTTGACTGTCAGAATTTTTAGAGAATACTGCTTCATTGTTGCACTAAGTACCACCTGTTTTCTCTTTTTTTTGAGGTGTTAAATCAGAATTCTTCTTGTTATTAAAGACTTGAAATTAAAATATGTCTAAAACTCTGGGATTGCCTTTTTTTTTTAAGGTGTCTATGATATTGTGAATAACCTTGGTTCGCTGGTGGCCAGGTTTATCTTTTTGCCTGTTGAGGAGAGCTTTTACGTATTTTTTGCTAAAGTGTTGGAAAGAGGGAAGACTGTAAAGGATCAAAAGCAGGTATGTTTATTTGGATTAATTACATGTCAAATGCTTGATTTTTGTTACAGATAAGTTTCATCACAGAAGTGTGATGGACAGAAATGTGTGTTTGAGTATTGAGGCTGTTAAAATTGAAAAGAGGAGAATAAAAATGTTGAGTCAGACTGGACCAAAAAGAAAAGAGAATAGGTAAAATGCTAATGAAATAGAAATCATAATATGCAGTGGCATAGTGCTGCCTTGCATCAATAAAGGTAACCTCAGCTGCTCCAAACAGTGTGATGGAAAGCCTACTCTACTGTGTATTTCCAGATGTAGTAAGCCATTATTTAAATAATGAAATCTATTGAATAAATGCTATCTGGAAGTACTTTATTTACTTAAACGTATCAATAGCTGTTAAATAATGTTTCTGAAGAGTGCAGCTTTGGGAAGAAAAGAATTGGATTTTTCTTGTGTGTGTGAGTTATATGAGGAGGATTAATGTATAAGTGCTTTTTTCCACAGAGTGATATTCTTGGTCACTCATGAGGGTCAGCCTGTAGCAGTTCTGCTAATTGCACATCAGCACACAACTAAATCCTGTGCTTCAGGTCTGTGGTGGGCTAAGGGAGGTGTCTGTGTGTGTATTTGATATAAAACCTATCTGATATGTAGAACTGAAAAAAATGGTGGAATAATAAATCTGTAAAAAGTGTTAGCAAGTTAAGAGCATGTGTGTGGATAATTCAATAACAAAGGATACATTTCACACCTTTTTACTGGATGCAAACTGATTTGTTTCTCTGAAGGAGCATTTCTGCACCAGAGTGGCTATTATTACATTGATTTTGGTTCGTGTGATTTGCTGTGTTTTTTTCAGGATGATGTTGCTATGGCTGCAAATGTATTGGAGTTGCTGCTGAAACTTGTGCTCCTGATTGGCTTCACCATCACTGTTTTTGGCTATGCCTATTCTCAGCTGGCTCTGGATATTTATGGAGGCTCAATGCTCAGTTCTGGAACAGGTAAAGATTTATAGACCTGGCAAAAAACCCACCACTCTTTAGGAAAAAAAAAAACAAAAAACCAAAATCCTACAGCTATTATGAATCTTTTATAAATCAGCAGGATTTTTCCTGTGAAACTGCTATTGAAATCTGTGATTTTGCTCATCAGAATCCTTCGCCTTGCTTATTTGTGTTCTTGACAAGATATCTAGACAGGAAACTTGTTCAAATGAACTTAAATTTCCATTGTTAGTATTAACATTACAAGTTCTATCTCTTACTATCACTGCCTGTAAAACCTAAGTGGTTTGATAAAAGAAATCATTAACTATTTGTCTTTTTAATGTGTTTTTTAGGTCCAAATCTCCTCCGGTGTTACTCGTTGTATGTCCTGTTTCTTGCTGTCAATGGAGTAACAGAATGTTTTACATCTGCCTTAATGTGCAAAGAAGAAGTGGACAGGTAGGAAACAGTGTCTCCAAAATGTTCTTGTGAATTTATTTGTGCTGACCTTAAAAAGGAATTGGTGCCTTTGAAATTGGCACAAGTAATATCCTGCCCCACAGAAAAGCAACTCCTTGCTAGGCTGTGTGCATTTAGATTCAGATGTAAAAGCTTTAGCAGAAGTTGAAAAGTTTGGGTAAAAAGAGTCAGAAACTAAGAAATAAAGATTGTTAATTTAGCTTTAGGCACATCACTAACTGATAAAATAATTTAAATCTGTGTTTTCGGCACAGAAAGTTACACTTTTTAAGACAATCATTTGACTCATTGAAAATTTGCAACTGTTAACATTTTTCATGTACAGGTACTGGGCATACACTTAGGAATGATCCAAGCTGTGGGTGTGAATCCAGTGCTTTACTACTGTGTAGGAGGTTGGACTAGGTGACCTCCTGAGAGCCCTTCCAGCCTGGATTATTTCCTCGTTCTGTGTCTAGGCTGTCCCTGATGTGGCCCTTTCAAATTAATTTCAGTGAGGTCTATTTTCCACAATCAAAGTAGGAGCTTTTTTGACTTTGCAAGGGCTGCTTTCACAACCCCTTTAAAATGTGTACTACTTTTCCAAGTCACTGTTTGTAACAGAAATGAAATAAAGTGTTGATTTGTTCTTGAGCATTCATTTTCTTTAATATAGTGCTAACATAAAATAGCAAAAAATGCACAAGTTTTTACATTACTAATAATTGTTATTAAATTTGGTTTTCTGCAATGAGTGCACAACTGATTAGTGTAATAGAATTTCGTTCACATAATGTAGTTCTTGGTTTAATTTGGTTGATGTATTTTCTATTCTTTCAAATTATTTTTTTTTATCCTCTCATTTCTCAAATTTATTTTCGCTAGAAGATGGTAAGAGAAATTATGTTACTGATGTTAGAAAATAAAAGATCATTAGTAAATGAATGCTGGATCTGCACGCATTGTGGAATTATTTCCTCTTTTTGTTTTTTTTTCCCTAGGTACAACTTTGTTATGCTGGCCTTGTCTTTCATATTTCTGTGCATCTCTTATTTCCTGACCCACTGGTATGGCAGTGTGGGCTTTATCCTTGCCAACTGCTTCAACATGGGCATCAGAATAGCTCACAGCACCCACTACATCCATCACTACTTCAGAGAAAGCACCCACAGACCCCTCACAGGCCTGCTGCCCTCACCAGCTCTGCTGCTGGTTTACATCCTCAGTGCTGTGGTCACTGCTTTCTCAGAGGTGAGCTCCTTCCTCTCTGCTCTCACTGACCATGCTGCTGTCAGGTGACTTTTGTGTCCACAAAAAGGGGAGTGCCATTAGGAAAACAGGCTTTTGAGGGTCGGCTGGGAAATCTGCAGTACAGAAAGGCAGGCTATATTGTTAAGAGATTCTTTGTATCAATGTTTTCTGCCACCTGTACAAGGTGGATCTGGCAAGTAAAGTAAAATTTAACACATTTCTGCTGTGTGTAGTTAACCCATGTTGTTAGTTATTTACAATGGAAATTTTGCAGTGGCATTAAGAAACTGGCATAAAAAATTCTGTAATAAAAGCAAGTAATAACTGAAACTAGAAGAAAATGAAAAATTGCTAAGAGCACATTTAACACGTTTATTCAGTACAAGATGGTAATTGTGCAGGCTGATTGTTAAGGGGATTGGAGCTTTTCAGTGTACAAAAATTTGACAGCTTGAAAATCCATTATGCCTGAGAAAGGAGAATTTTATATTTTGGAGTGGGAGATTTCCAGTTTGGTTAGAAAATATGTTGCTGTACAGTAGCAGACTTGTCTGATAGCAAAAGAAGAGTTTTGTGTCATCTCAGTTAACACATTTCTGCATGCCAGATAACAGCAGCTTCCTCATTTGCAAGATATCTATTGAATGGTTATTTTTTGCTGAACTTAAGAAGGCAAATGTTTTGACTCCTGAAGATGATTTTTTGTAGGGTCGGTGCATGTGCACAACCACGCTTGGCTTCATGGTGATGTTGGTGTGTTGGACTGAGGTGTTGGACCTTATTTCTTGTTGTGACAGTAAATGCACTTTGTGCTGGCTGGTTTTACTGCAGTGCCTTGCTTTCTTTGTTGTAGGTGTTGTTCTGCTGTGACAAGGGCTGGATGGCCAGGCTGATCCACATCAGCACGGGTGCCCTGTGCCTTGCAGCAACCCTGGTTACGATGTTCTGCACAGAGACCAAGCTCATCCACTTTGTCAGGAGCCAGTTCCTCTCCCGCTATCTGAAGAAAGGAACATGACCTGCTCCTGTGCAGAACAGTTCTTGTATGTGCTTGCAGTAAAGGGCTGTGGTTTTTGCCATAAGATCTGCATGGAAAAAAGGTTTCCACATGTGTTTGGAAGCATTGATAAGGGAGTGGCAATGTTGACAACTGCCACATGAATATTATTTTGTCTTCTGAACTGGTCAGTACAGCAAAAGAGAGGTGAATAATTTTCTCTTTATGCATCATTCTTGTCTAAGCTTTTCTTCAAACAGCCTCTGAAGATCTAAGCTGCACCCCCTCACATAACCTGGTTGACAGACTGCATGTAGAGAGCTCCCCTTCCTGCCACTGGGCAGTGTGGGAAGGCCTGATGTGGTTTAGAAGGCTCTTATTTGGCATGGGTGCTGCTTAACTGGGGAGATGCTCAGGGGAAAAACCCCCAAAACCAACCACAACAATGAATGCCATAAAAATACCCAGAAGCTGAGGAGAACCCTAGAGCAAGGACCAGCACCAGTGTGAGTGTTGTGGAGCAGAACACAGTGTGGTGCAGGGGGATTGAGCTGTCACTGTTTGAAGTGCCAAGCGGGCAACAGAAGATCCTGACGTTTACAAGTAAATTAATGGAATACACAGTGTGTGTCCCTGCTGGCTCTGTGAGATTATTTCATTCAGCAGATCCTTCATGTCTGAGGGCATTGATTAACTTGTCAGAAATACTCTGAAGCCTTAGCTGGAAGAGGTTTTGGGCATTGTCTGCAGAAGGTGTTGAGTACAATCACTAATGGTGCAGTTCATAAGGTTACTCATAAAACTTGTTGCTTTCATTCCATTGTTTTTGGGTTTGTCTGGGATTTTAAATGCCAGCATGAACAAACTTATCTCAATAAAAATTATTTTGTCTGTACAATTGAATGTTAAATATATTTAATAAGATTTTTTACAAGGAATTATGCATATTGAAGATGTCTTCATTGGGTAGTAAATACTTCCTTTTGTTCCAATGTTTTCCTCATATCTTATTTCTTTACGTGTTCAGTCTCAACCTCTGGATTGGTTTTTTTTTTTTGGAATTGATGAAAATTTGGACTTTCAGTATTCTAAAATTCCATGTAAGGCTGCTGGTTTAAGTGTACTAATGGCATATTGTATTGCTGGTCTAAGATCTGAACGGGGCAGTTTCAGCATGTACGAGTGGCAGGTTTATAATGATCAATGTTCCCTTTGCAGTTCTTCGATGGACCAAAAAATGTCAGGGTATGAGAAATGTGTGCTCAGACGTGTGCAGTTGAAAGCTTTTAGTTTAATTATGTAGCAACTCTGCAGATCCTCAGACTGCTGAAAAAAACCTCACTGCAGTGGCATTGTGGAGTTCACTCTGGTGCCATCAGTGCCCAGGCTGAAATGCTTTCTAGTGTCAGGGCCTTCAGCTTGTAGTTAGAAATGTTTTCTAAACTCTGGTAATTCCCACTTGGAAAACATTGCCAAAGATACTTTACATGAGAATTTGGTGATTAAAAAATGATCATAGAGAGGCCAAAATGTGACAGTGAAGGGAAGGTAGTGGCCTTGCACAGCCAAGGGCAGTTGTCTCCATTGCCTGGCTGGAAGGAGTAGAAGCAGATGATTCTTCTTACACTGTTTTGAAATCTGTCAAAATGAAACAAACTCTATATTATTCTGTTCTCTTGATTGAATTCAGTAGTTTTTGTCTTTTACATTTTTCTCTTCTGAATGGTCCTACAGCTTTTTCCTCTTTTCTGTCTGCTGTGGGGTTAGTTATGAAATACAGCTTCAAATATTGCAGAGGGTTGAAACTTCTTTATGGTCAATGCTTACAACAGTTGCTTCTCCTTGTTAGTAGTGCAAAAAAATCAAGACAATTGAACCTATGGACTGTGACTTAAGGTCTGTCTTTTCCTGTATGCCTTTGGGATCCTACTGTGGTAATATCTCAGTCTGTACAGTGAATTTTTATAACCCTTGGAATGATAAATTTTGTACAGCCTTGCACCTAAGTGCTTTGTAGATGGAAGAACTTCTCATACCAAATTGAAGCTTGAAGTCCTTCTGCCTTGTCTGCTCTTACAGCCCCAGCTGTACACTGATATTACTTCTGCTGCTTGTAATCTCATAGGTAGGGTGATGTGAGATCTTGTTCAGTGACATGACCTGTGTAGTCTCATAAATGTTATTTAATATAAATTAATTATTTAATATAATGTTAAATAATTTAAAGACAACATACATTTTTATACCACTTAGTTTTATTTCATATTGGAAATATGATTTGTCTTATTTCATATTGGCAGATCTCACATCTTGTGCTATTTTCTATGAATCAGGAAGACATTGAAGGTGACTTAATGATTGCTCATTAGCAAATTAAGGACACATTCTTCATTTACACATCAGCTCAGTGATGGTTGACTGGTGTTTGTGATGTGGGATGTTTTATTTTTAATGTTTTATGAGGCAGGAAACTGCAAGGAGAGATAGGAAGTAGAGACCTATGAAACTGCTGGTTTCTTATTTATCAGTGGGATCGTTAATGTCAGAGCTGTTAATTGCTTTATTGCTAAACTAGCGAAGTCTCAAACTCGGGAACAAAGTTGAGATTGAACTTGACCATGTTTTCCTTTTGTTTTAGCCCCGTTCATCAGTCAAAAGCACAACTGTCTGAAGTGTCATGAAGCTGTTTTGCAGTGTTCTGAAATCTTTTAGTTTCAGCCAAAGGGGAATGAAACATTTTCTTTGGTGGAAAAGGTTATTTCATGCTTTGTGGTGTGTTTTTCTTGGTTTTTGGATGAATGACTTTCAAGGCAACACTAAATAAAGTTTATTTCCTTTATATTTTGTTTTTGTCTTCCACTTGATGATTATTGGAGTTTTATTTATATCATTGGTACAGCTGATGCTTGAATTTGGTTGGATTTTCTAGGATATTTTATGTGTAAATTCAATGATCAACCTAGACATACACACCATTTCCTAGCACACACACATGGTTAAGATGTGCTGTAGTAATTTTGAAATGTGGCATCATTATAGTAAATGTTTCCCTCTTTGTTTCTGTCAAATTGTTTGTATGAATTGGAATGGCCAAGTTCCTTTGTTTGCTTTTACAATGCATTGTGATAAAAACTGATTCAGTGGCCAGGAATAAATCTGATATTTAATGAAATTTTTTAGCTGAACTAGTTTGTGAATGGCAATGCTGCTGTTGGGAGCTAACCAATTAACCAATTGTTCAACTGTTTGATTTTTCCCTAGTCCCGTAAGTATTTTTTTTTTTAATTAGGGCAGGGGGAGCCACTTTTTAGGCAAAGAAATGAGGATTTGAAGCTTTGCCTAAATGGTTAATCTGCTTTAGCAGGCACAAGAGATAATGGATGAAAGTTTGAATGTTGACCACAACTGAGCACCCATAAGGGGTATTGGCTTCTTAGTTCATGTGAAGGATTGTGTGAGTGCCTTGAGGTCCGTCCTGTAATTCCTTGGATCCTGAACAGTCCTTCTGTGTCGACTTTGAAATTCTTTTTGTGGGCTTCATATTTTTTGCTGTCTGAACATCATACTTTTTTTGGTTTTATGGTTTAATTACCTGATTTCAAAGATAATGCCAAAGAGAGGGATATGAGGCTTTTTGAACTGTATCAGTGTTTCAAGAGATGTGCTGAGCTGTAATGGTTTTGTTCAGCACAAAATGCATAACTCATCTGCATTCTGAGGGTGCTGTGGAAATGGAGCTGGTTTTCAATATAAGCTGAAAATGAAGTTTGAAGCTGTGCACATGTGATGTACAGCTGGGCCCTGGAAACAGCAGGGCCTGCTCAAAAGTGTGAGCAGCTGGGGATCTAAAGAGAACTGATAGGAAGTGCTTATCTCTGCTTCACTTTGGATTGCTTCCACGGAAAGATGTGTGTTCTCTCTAGTTTCTGAGCTGAGCTGTGGTTCATGCACTGCCTTGCTGGGGTCTGGGAGGAGGAGTGACCCCTTTTCAGTGGGTGTCTGTCAGTGCACGTCCCTGCAGTGAGCTCTGTTCATGGCATGTGATGAGTGTGTGCCCCCCGTGCAGCTAAGGCAGGATTTTCTGGGAGCTGTGGGGAAAGGTAACACAGCTCTGGGTTTTCCTTTGTCAGACTTCCTGGTTAGATGTGGTAAGTGAGCCTCTGGCAGAGCTCTCTGTGTTGTTTGCTGGCAAGGTTTTGTGAGTCACGGATAATGTGTTTGGCATAATTTCTCCAAAGTTCTGTGCCATCCCACAGAACTGAGAAAGTGGCAAGGAACGTAACCGAGAGCGCAGGTATTTTATATCGGTGGCCCACTTAATAAGACAAGTAAATAAAGCTGTGTCAAGAAGAAGAAAACCCCAAGAGATAGCAGTCCTTAAAGACACATCAGGTGTATGAGTAGTTCTAATCTAGCAGTAAACAAGAATCATGCTTTGTTCTTTGTGATACACTTTTGCTCCAGAAAGGGAGCAACATAACAGGGTTTGGGAGAAGACTGCAAGGTCTTAACATTCTCTTAATGTTCTCTTAACGTTCTCAAATGCAGGAATTTCCAGACTTGCATCTTTGTGGCCCCCCTGGGGAGAGAGGAGTAGGAAAGTTCTGAAGGGCTGTGCCTGTGTCTCAGAGAGCAGCTGAGGCATAGTCATGCACTGTGTGTGAGAAAGTGCCTTGTCATCACTTAAGAGTATCTTCAACTCTTTTTTTTTTTGTTTGATTGCTGTTTAATTCATACCTTGGCAAGCCATTCATAACCAGCTCCTGTAGGTATGTCCCTTTTTTCTGTAAAAAGTCAGCCTAGCCAGTCTCATTGCAAAAATCACGAGAGCCCTGCCCTGGGCTGGCTTGAGGAAGATGCTGGTCAGCTTGCTGAAGGTTGTGTTTGCCAGCCCTGACAGCATGGACTGAGGAGGGAGCAAATCAAGCTTGCATAGAAAAATTCAATTGTGGTTTCTTTTTTGTTCTGGATGCTTGACTTGGCAATACTGTTTTCCTAATGGAAGGGGTTTTTGGGAGTAATTTTATGGAACAAGTGCCATAAAGTGCACTCATATGCCTTCTCTTATTTGTGTAATGATTTTTAGCAGTCTCTCAGTGTGGGTGAGGAGATGTTATGGGATGAGGAAAGGGAAGTGTGCTGAGTACAGTACATGTGCAAGGAACAGAGTGTCCCTCTGGGGAGAGGCCTTTAGTCTGAGAGCTACTTCCCTCTCTGAATGCATTTCTGTCATTGCAAATAAAACTTTTAAGCATGTCTCTGCTCAAGTGCTTCTCTAGGCAACTAGGAGAACCTGTTTGGAAGAATCAGAGTATGCCCATGAAGCTTTGCTGGTCAAGTAGGGTTTATTGATGCATTGAAAATACAGGCAATAGTGTGTGACAGTATTAACTCTCACTAATAGTCCTCCCATTTGAGGCTGACTCTGTATTAACCTGTGGAGACTGTGTATTAATCCATGGGGTTTTTTTTTCTGTGGTTCCTTCAGAATTCTACTGATCAGTTCTAGCATATTTTTCTTCTCTCTCAGATAACCTTATTACACAGCAGCTTCACACATGTTCAGCTGAGAGCTCTGAAGAAGCACAGGATGAAGACTGGGGGAATGCTGGAGCATCACTCAAATCCTGCTCAGCACAGCCAGGTTGGAGGAGGGCTGAGCAGAACCTCCCCTGGGCAGGATGAAACAACTAGGATTGTTTTCTTGAGGCAGCAGCTCCAGGATTAAGGATGAAAGCCACCTACAAGTATGCATTCCTGACTGTAAATACAGTGTTGGAAGGTGGCAGCTCGTGAGCCCAGAGGGTCCATTTCAGGGAGCTGCAGAGATTCCCTGCCAAACCATCTGTTGGTAGAGATGCTCAAAGTGCTGGATGTGTGCTATGCTTCACAGCTCTCTTAAGTTTCAGTGGTTTTGTGCATCCAAACCAATACATGAATTATTTTTTTGGAGTTGAATGTATCACAGAACCACAGAATAGTTGGGGTTGGGAGGGACCTTTAAAGATCATCTAGTCCAGTGCTCTTGCCATGAGCAGAGACATCATATCCTGCTTGTGGATTCTATTTACAGTTGGCCAAAGTTGCCTGAATGAAACAGCTCAGAGGAAGAATTGCAAAATTGTGGAGTGCAGTTGAACCAAGTCTTTGGTGTGAAAGTCACAACTGAAGCAGAAAAGCAGAATAAAAGCTGAAACTGAAAACAAATACATAACGTTAAGGTTTGGTAACTGGGCATTCAAGGTACTCAGTATTCTGCTGGTGCTGACTGCTCACCAGGTCAGGTGAAGTGAAAAGGAAAGGATTTCCGCCCATCCAGAGGAAAATGTAGTGTTGTAGGTCACCTGAAAGATATTCTGGTGTGGGAGCAGGAAGCTTTCATGGCTGAAGATGCATTGACAAAGGCTGAAAAGGCATTTGCAATCTGTCAGGGGAGCAGTACATCTAAGGCAATGTTAAGTTTGCTGCAGGATGGGCCTTGAGGTGAGCTGCAACCAATTTGACTTAATCTATAACAGTTAAGAAAAGGAAAATTAGTCTCTGTAGGGTAAGAAAAGGTGGACTTGAAAGCAGAGGTTGAATTGTTAAAGGAACAGGAACAGAAGTGGAAGAACAGAAGACAAGTAGTGCAGAGTGGTGTGTGCTGCAGAAAGCCTGTGTTCAACATCTGTGATGAAGTGCATGTGATGAAGGACATACAAAAGGCTAGACAATAAAACCTCCAGCTGTGCAGTTACTTGGCAGTGGAAAAAAGCTTAAGCAGCTTCAGGGCTGTAGTTAGAGGCAGAATTGTGGATTGGATGATTCAGCTTCCTCGAGGAGTCTCCTGGTCTTTGAAAAGAGCATTGCAGGAAGAGCAAGGCGTGGTTGGATTTGCTGGTGCAGAATTTAGCCCAGAGACCTCAGCTCATGGGACTGAAGGGAGGTTGTTGGTTCAGTCCAGATCAGTTTGGTGTGGATATACCAAAATACACAGAAGAGACATTTCCTATCTCACCCCAAGTTTCTTTGTACCAAGCTTAGACCAGTTCTCTTCTGCTAATCCGTGTGGGACAAATGGGAGGAATTGCAGGTGGATGCAGACAGAGGGAAAACTGCCACTGCCACCATGTGAGTGGGAGCACTGATCTCTGCTGGGGAGCATGGACACAGGGACTACAGGGCAGTGAGGCTGTGCTGCAGACTGTGCTTCCCTGACACCACAACTGCTACCTGGAGGAACTCAGAGTGGACATACAGGAGTCCTGCAGAGAGCACAGTGGATTTTAAGTTTAATGAATTCAGGAACAGAAATGAAAAATTAGAAGAGTTTTGCACTGACAATGTTTGGATTTCAACTAGATGTGTATGACTTAATATTCAGTATTTAAACAATAATTTAATAGTAAAAAATCTAATGTATTAAGCATGGACTCAGTCTTGAATGAGCAAAGGTAAATGGTAAATATTGGTTATTTCCAGATCTGCTTTCTTTGAATAAAGTGAAGTGTGTATGACATACAGTAATTTGGGTAAACGAAGAAACAATTTAAAGAAAGGGACTGTCCCTTCTGCTTGAGGAGGGGAAACTTCAGCCATTGAAAAAGTAATGGAAGATTCTGGGAAATCACTGTTTTCCAAGAAAGGTGTGTCCTTAGAGAGTGGTAAAGTGCAAACACCATTGGGGGACACGTGGGTCAGACCCCAGGGACTGGGCTGGACTACAGGACTACTGCAGGACTACATTTGTGTGAAAAGGCACCACCAGCTGAAAGTGTAGAAAGAGCTTGTGGTGCTTTGGATCAGGAATAAATAATAGGATTAAGAATACACCAAAATACAAAGACCAGTATTGGAAGA